TACTTACTTGGTCCATTCAGGTGAAAACTGAATTTTGTTGATCTTGTGGCAATAAAGCATCCGTGCTAAACCATCGTTCAGTTTTCATTATAAGTCAAATAAGTGACACGTTACGTTACCGAACCACAAATGTGTTGCTGAACCAAACCTCAAGTTGTGAGTGGCTAACTCGGTTAGTGAACAATCAGGAAACGATTGACAATGTTGTTTACGCAGAAATTGAAATTTCAGAGTTCCAGTCCAGAATGATGAGATCTCTTCGGTTAATTTCACACACATGCAACATGACTTCACTGACATCGTCTTTTCTAATGACAGTGCAGAAAAGACGATGTCTCCCTCCCAACAATATTCATTACCGCAATTACCCTCCTGTATTACGATTAGCGATAAATCAGAAAGCATTCAGGGAATTTCTAAGTAGAATCGATGAGCAGTAATTTGTCAATCTCCAAAATTCCCTCTCTGGCACTCCAACTCTCCCTGATTCTCCATCCTTGGAGTGCCGTAGTTCAAAAAATTACATATTCTGTTGCGGAATGGTGACTGTTTCCTGAAAAATAATTGAATTTCCACTGAAATGTTGCATTCATTAGTGGATCCGCCATGTCGCCAAACTCCATATACCTGATCATTGTGTTAACGTGCGACGCAATATTGGGGAGAAAACACAAACTCTTCTGGAATGATTGGTCGATCCAGGCAGGCTTGTTGGTCCACCTCAGTGGTTTTCGGTGTACCTATGTTTTCTGATGGTTTCCTGGTGCACATATCGAACACTTATGCGTAATATTTCGGATGAAAACAATTCTTTGCTAATGGCGATGACCTCAAACAAATAGATTAATAAATTTTCCAAAGGACCAGGACTCACCTCCTGGGAACATCCCTGGCAATAGGAAGTATGACCCTTTAAAAGATTAAGACATCCACATAAGTGAGTCGACAAGCAGGCGTTGGCAGATCATGAATTCAAAAGTTAGCGCATATTGTGCTAGAAAGACTACAACTTATGTTTTGTAAATTACGCAAAGCAAAAGGTTCGTTGTAGAACCCTGAAAGAGATTCAAGATTACAGTCTCTCCAAAAAATAGCTACAGTGAGGAAACCTTCCACCACTTCTGCGCTGTTGAACGAATTCATAGAATATGATACAATGTAGTTTGTTGTGATTTTACATTTACGTATAAGTCGTAGTGATACATTTGAGAGAATCGTGATATTTTTGACGAATGAAGATAATTCCAGTGAAGTGAATTGATTATGATAATCATATCCGATTGCATAGAATCGAATTCGATCGGTCGACAGATTTCCTGAGCTAATAAAGTGTTGTTGGTACAAGGAGGTGAATTCACTATGCAACACTTCATGATTCTCTGCTTGCAGTTGTACTTGTTTCTGATCTATATGCACGAAGTAGTGGGATGAATCTGAGCGCATCATGAGCGCGTTCGCAAATAATTCTGCATTCACTTGGCTTTTGAGATGGATCAGTTTTTGGGAAAAAAATTCAGCTTTTTAAAATAAAAGTTTGAATTTTGGAAACAATTTTTTGAAACCTTCCAGCAATATGAAAGTGTGGAAGTCCGCATGACATTGAATCGCAAATGAATCCTGCATGGTTTTCCAAGTCGGATTCTTCATGCAATGCTGAAAATTGGTCCGTTTTCATTCTTGTATGAAAGGCATGAGCGCCTCCAGCTATCGAAGAATTGGTTCAGCGAGTCTTCCTTCATACATATTATCGTACAATGGAATGATGATAATGAACATTCAAAAATGACCTAACCACATATACAACCGTATCTTGATAAACTGTACGAGCAGTAATGTAATTCAGCGTTCAAATTCGTAAGAAGATTTTTGGTCCTTTTGTCTTCCAATTTTCGATCTTTTCATGGGCCAAAGCGTCGTCATTTTTTTTAGATTGGGCGTACTTAAAATGATTTTTGAGTCGTATTAATTTGGATGGAACTTGGCAATCGCTGCAATCAATCACTTTATAAAAATATTACTGATAATGAAGCACCTATAAATTATACATTCATTGCAAACCACTTCATTTGTGCTCGCATTTGGAAGCATACTCAAGTTCTTTCTCGAGTCTCTACGTTGTGTCGTACAATTGCCGACACAATCGTTTTTTCTTGGGTACTCCAAAGCGGGATGCTGTTTCGCGTTGAATAACTTATCTGCTGCTTCAACCAGTCAACCTCAAAAGAAGTGCTACTGTCATGTTTAGTTGATTAATGAAATATTCGTGAATTATTTAGCAGCTTCATTACAACTGAGATAGTCTGTTCACATTTACGGTAGTAGCAGCGATCTTTTAACTCTCCTTCGCATTCACATAGATTTCGAAAGTACAATAGCACGGCTCGGTGGTTATCGTTTGCAAGACATGAGCTCGTCAATGAACGTTGGTCATGTCCATCAAAAAAACACATTGGAAAGCTGATGCCTTCAGAAAAATTGAACGCTTGATTCTTGCAATGAAGGCTCTGTGTTTATGATATTTCCAGAAAGATTCAAGTGGTAATACTGTTCTTTTCAGCTGTCGACTACTCGAAACGCAAGCAATGAAGCTTCTAGTTCTCACTTGCTTATTATTGGTGAGTAGTATTTCAGTACCATTCCAGTGTTACTTCCCTCTACTTTTCAAATTGGAACTTTTTTTGACAGATGAGCAACTATTTCTCTGGGATGAGCTGTGCGAAAACATCAAATCAGTTTCTGAAATCATTCGTTCAAAGATTCACTAATTCGGCGAAGTGAATGTTGGTGATTTCTCAGTGCTTTAGTGATCATCCAAGGAATTTAATGACCCTTACCGTGAACTTCAATGTTGTTCATAGAGGGCTTATAATTTAAAGATGATGATGTGTTTACATTCCAATTTTGATTTCTGAACGGAGTATACAGAATAGGCACAATATTTGAGGAAATACAACAAGCATTTGGCTACTGGCCTCCGGGTGTGAGACCACCATTGATGTCGATGGGGCGACCATTTCATGGTTTCGTGCCCAGTCCAGTCACCGATGAGGTACGTTCTAACGTTCTTCGAGCTATTTGGCATCGTCAAGTGCTCGTGTTTCAAATTACTGCTGAAACCAAAAAGGAAACAAAAGATTGCTCTGCCGTTGATTCAGCACAATGCAACCCACCAAGCTCAAGACATGAAATTCGTTTCAACGTGTTAACATAATATCATCAGAGAGTTCATTCGTTGTGATCAGTTATCGGATGGAATCGGATAATTTATGAGAATATTGACTCTCTTCTTCTCCTTTACTCCGATTCATTGCGAATTCAATTTCTGAACCACTAATCGATGCACACTCTCGATAGAATTTTAGTCAGCTAAGGAGGATTCAACTGTGAGCATGTGGGACTGCCTTCAATCAAAAACGTGAATCGCACATAGCAACCTGAGTTATTGAAATGATTCAAATCCGTTGTGTTGAGGATTTGACTTTTCTTTTAAGGAATCGTTCGCTGCACAAACTCCAGCAGTTCGAAAAACTTTCGTTCAACTACTGGATCACTTCAACAAGAATGACAAACGCGTTTGGAATCAGGTTGGCATCTATCTAAGGCTGCAGCAATTCTTTTGTTTCAGTTTCTTGCATGAGTCCGTTGCAAAGCAATTCACTTGCTGAGTCCCGAGAGGAATTTCATTCACTCGCGATCAGATGTGTTCAACTCGGTATAGTGATAAACTTGAGAGGAGCAGAGTGGATTTATGTGCAGGAATCGTATCCCTCGTGCCATTTTCAAGCCCGATTTTTTTCATGTCCATTTTCGGATACTCTCGAAAATGCCTTGCTCTTTTGCGAAATATTATTGGTTGCGGATATTATGACCTGCTAACGAAGGGTCATATATTGGCTTGCCAGATGTGGTAGTGTCTATCCTGAGATGAATATATGCAGCCGAAATAATGTTTGAACTTTCACTCTTTTTTCTTTTCAGCAATAAATTACGCAGGATTCCAAAGATTTGTGACGATGAACTCATAATAGACTACCATTTTGACGGAAACTTAGCAATGAACTGTATTTGCTCACAATAGGACAGTTTTTATTGTGAGGTTTAACACTTTCACTCAGATCAGATACAAAGAGCAATCAAAAACAGCATAATTAGGAAGTCTATGATAGTAATCGGATGAATCCAAGCCTTCCTCACCAAAAGTTCTGACAATTTTATTCTCTGCGTTCATTTTTGATCTCATAATAGACTGCCATTTTCCCTTACACGCTCCAAATGATCATTCTTCCCTCCTCCGATAGTGGATTACTTTTCAGCGTTAAAGTATGATAAAACAGGAGAATTGATTCATTGATCATGAAATTCACTCTAAAGAATTCGTTGACTGCACAAGAGGAATGAATTTCACGTAATCAGACTAACACTTTCAAAGCGGTTTTAGGCAATATGAAATAAGAATCAATTCACAATGATTTATCAACCTTCAGAATTCCACCTTACAGCATAAAATTCCTGCTAAAAGCACCACCTATCCCTATGAGGGTCACTGGCCCGTACAAGTCGATCAAACTGGAAGTTTCCATCACAAGGGGACACATTTCTGCTCACTGAATGCCATTCATTCATGGAGTAACATAAGTTCATTGCGCATACTGATTTTTCACTTCCATTGATTCCGATCTGAGTGAAATGCGAATACGCGAGTGAAGCTGGCATCATCGAAACGCACTGCGGAAACGGTACTCTTAAACGTTGGCACTCATCGAATTCTTGCCAATGTTCAGCCTTTGAATCACCGCTTATGCCTTCAATCNTGAGGTGTCAGATGAGCATTGACGATTTTAGCATTGAACCGTCAATCGCGAACTGTTTCCGCATGAATGAATCACAGTGTTGCTCAGAAATGTTTCACACTGTTTTTAAATGGTTGTCCTCATTGTTTCGGCGCATCAAAATGCATTATCGTTGTCTTAAGTGGTAATTAATAAACACATATTGACATACTAGCTTTGGTCTTCAGTACACTTCTTACATTGACAGTCTTTGAGCAGTTGCAAATCGAGCGTTTAACTGATAGAAAATTCGATGGAAAATAGTGCATTTAAGAAGGAGGGATTGCAAATTGATCGATGAACACGGAAAGCAAAGCTCATCTTCACAAGTCTTACGAAAATGATCGAATTTAGAGTATCCACACGTTATCCCCTGAGAAACTTTGCTTAAAGCACGTCTGATTTTCAGAACTGCCCGACAAGATCGCATTCTATAGAGAATAAGTACCATCATGCTGTATCGATTAAATTTATTGAAGAATAGAATGACCACTGCAGCAAGGATTTCGCTAAGAACCACTCATTGACGAAGCATTAAATGCTGTTGATTCTGCAATCGGTGCAACCAATTCGTTCTAGTTAAATATTCGCTATCATAGCTGAAAGCTGATCATAACTATGTATTTCACTGAGCGACTATTTAACGACCATTATTATTAGCTGAAATGAACTTAGAACAATTCTTACTCCTGGCAGTACATCAGCGAATTCGACTACATATTTTTGGTCCTAAATTTCAGACCTACTTCGTAAACGATCAGAACTATAAAAATAAGGAAGTGGTTTTCCTGATAGTGGGTGGAGAAGGACCTGAGAGCGGTTGGTTAGCAGAATCCCAGGGCACACCTCTGATGACAATGGCCGAGCAATTCGGCGCAATAATATTTGATCTGGAGCATCGTTTCTACGGATCCAGCAGACCATTTCCGTTAGTTTTCTAGAAAATGACATAAAATGTTGTGATTACATTTCACATTTGTACCTCAAATTTACAGTAGCAGTAGCAACCAATTCATTTGACAGTATCATCATGTAACTGCACTGGAATCACATCTTCAATCAGCGTTCTATTTTTCAACCTCATAAATTCACGATCCACAATTATTTCATGACAATATTGAACTTTCACGAATTCCAGTATCTCATTTCATTGAACATATTGAACGTGCGCTTGAATCATTTTTAGACTTCAAACAACGTTAAATCTGCGATATTTGACGAGTCATCAAGCAGTTGAAGATATTGCTTATTTCATCAGATATATCAATAAAATGTACAAGTTCAAGAACCCTAAATGGATCACTTTTGGGTGTTCTTATCCTGGTGATTGCATCTTGTTTGTCATTTTGTTAATGAACATAGTAATAGCTATGATGAGAGGGATCGTAAGTTGTACTTTTCATGAGAATACATAAGAAGGATGACAATAATAATAACAGTGATCAACAACGGTTTGTTCCAACAGATTATGTATAGCAGTCTTGCCAAATATGAATAATTCCCGCTAGATGTATGGGTATTCTACTGAGGCTGTGTTAAAAATGAGGATGTCAAAGACTGATCAGTCCGCTTGTTATCATTAACGCTAGCGAACCATCGTTGTGAATATCTGCTCAAGTGATAATCTTATCTGTCAGTTCATCGAATCTTTTCATAGGCTCTCTGTCTGCTTGGGTTAATGAGTTACATCCTGAACTTATTACCGGATCATACAGTACATCAGCTGCCGTTCAAGCCGAATACGATTTCTACCGTAATACTTTCATATATTTTGTTTCATTTGCTAACTTATTAATGCCACGAAGAGAATGATGAATTGAATAGGCTGATGACAAGAAAGTTGGTTCTGACAGTGGATGACCAATTGTTTTCGAACGTGATCATTCACCAATTTTACATTGATTGACAGCTACGAAATAATGAACGATCCGCTAGAAATCGAATGATCGAGTTTATGTTGCATATGAAACCATTTTTATGCTGCGAATACTGAACCTTCGTGTGAAAAGAAATTTAAGACCATGAATGGAAATTGATTGATTTCAAGAATATCTGGAAGTGGTTGAATCGGCGATAAAAGCTTACAGTACTGACTGTGCAAATAATATCGGTGCTGGAATCGCTGAAATGGGACGTTTAATATGGACACCCGAAGGACGCAACAAGCTTAGCGATGTTTTTCAGTGAGTTTCCAGTCTTCATGATAGCACAAATATCTAACATCGTAATGTTTCAGTAGAGTACGATAAATTTTTGAATCATTCTCTTAAATCTTCATTTTCTCAATTTAGAGTTGTGCATTNCCCCGACTAAATGAAACAGCACTGTCGTACAACGACATCGCATACTTCTTGTTTTGCATTCACGTTAATTTCCAAACATCCGTACAATACAGTGAGGACAATGCTGTTAGTCGCTCAAGATTTTCATTGATTTATGTTTTAGTTTTGCTTATTCATTTCTGAACAATAACCGACTTCAGTGGACTGTTTGTGAGCACAATCAATTCAGCTAATATATTAGTTTTTGCCTTTACCTAAGTATATTAGAAGTCTTATAGTTATGTTGCTTCAAACTGTTCTTCAGCTGATATTCACTCAGCTGAACGAGATCTAATTGTCTGCGAATAGCTACATTCGTTCGGGTAACAGGTGTTCCAGAATCTACGAGGATCCTTGGAAAATTTATAGTTTTGAACAAGATGCCTTGCCGATGATCCCGAAGTTGGGTACATCCGGACAGCATCCATTCTTTTCTATCAGTCGAGAAAAGCATGGCTGCATACAATAAACAGTCCATTAAAATAAGATTTCTCTGGTCCGGATGTCAACTGGATCACTGAGACATCTGTGCTCGGGAAAGACTCAACTGAGCACGATGTCTTAAAAGGTCGTTCTTGTCAGAATCTTTGTGAAAAATGAAAAAAGAAATCCAAACATATCGAGATTGACGGATCCTTGATCCCGGTTGAATGATTGAATATGTTGCATAAGTCAATGATTTTTTTATAAAAAAACTTCTATTCTGAATGGTTAAAGGGATTGCACTTATCGATCCTCTTTTAAAAGCAGTTCCATTGTAATGCGATTTAAGGCAACATACTATAAGGCGGGAAGTATAGCTGATTTATGCAAGATAATGAACAACAATACTATGACTCCCATGGAGAGGCTGGCACAAGTAAATATCTATATGGTTGAAATCTTTGGCTACCCATTCACCGGTACATATGCTAGTTATGATGGATACGTCAAATATATCCAAGATGTCAATTACTACGGCGATGGAGATGACGGTATTTGTTCAGCTATTTGTTCCTATATAAAACATCCAGACAGTGCAACAGTTTGAATATATGTTGTTTGCATGCATCAGAGTCGACCAAAATTTGGTCTTATTTTGGTTTGTTTTATCTCTGCGTTCGTGAATTTGTGATACAAAAAGCGCTAAAGGTTGCTTTTATTGTAAACGGAAGCATCTCGTGCAGAAATGCGCATCTAATTGTAAATATCTTGACTACTCATAAATAATGGATGCTTGCAAAATGCTTCAAGGATAATGAAAATGTTCACATTGTTTGAAAGATTAATTTTCCTGTCCATCGCAGTTCAAGCCAATAAAACCACTCGGCTATAAATATTATTCTTCAACGAAACCGAAATTCAGCTGCAAGTCGAGGATGGGTCTGGCAGACATGTAACGAATTCGGATTTCTTCAGTCAACCGATACGGGAAAGAATATATTTGGCAGTCAAACACCTGCCAAGTCAGTCGTTTTTATGTTTCAACCAATTTCATATGATCAATAAGATTATTCAGTGGTATGAACCAAGGTAAGCAGTATCAGTAGTAAGCAGATAAGCAGTTATCGGCCGTCATGGAAACCATGAACGAACTTCCTTTAAACATGAGCTGTACGAAATCTAATGACGCCTTGTTTCAGTTTGTTCATCAATTGGTGTTCCGACATTTTTGGTCCAGACTTCAAGGCGTTGGCTGTTGAAAAGCGTACCCACGATACGAATGCATTTTATGGAGGAAAGGATGGCTATCGGGTAAGTTGAGAGCAGCTGATGAACAAAATTTTGGGCAATGACTANGGAGTAACAATTTGGTCGAGAGGAACGGGACATCATCGGGGAGCAAACTGGCCGCGACACACTCCGGGGTAAAGTCGGGGAGCGGAGGAGCGTCGAAGAATGATTGCGCCGGGAGACAACCGTCAGGGGGGGGGGCGGGAAGAAATTCAACGTAATTTTAGCGAGAATTTATCCTCTCGATATGAAGAAGAAGGATCACGTGATTCAATGACAACGCACTCTTGACTACGACATTCAGCAAATATAAGGAATACGGAAACGATCAAACACAACCAACCAAAATTACTCGGTTCGGACCAAACATTCGGTTCGAGAATTTTGGGCTCACTTTCGCAACACCTACAAATATGCCCTGTCATGGATCCTCAACTGCGTCTGCAAACATAAGACTGCCTTGTTTTGCAGCTACCACTGCGCTTCACTTACCACCGCGATGTTCATCAACCTATATTCAGCGATTTACACCACTATTCGAGCATCAGAGTCGAAAACCCTGGTACTCTGTTGACGAGCTTGAAATAACCTGCTGCTCAACTATCCAGAATTTCAAATCCTTGCAAATCTACTACATCGGAACAAAATTTCATTCGATTGAATATGATCTATCCTCAAGAGGACCTTTCTGCACTAGCCAGCCGTTTGAATAGTACACCTAACTGCATTGATGAGTAAGTCCTGTGAATTTCGNTAGGATCTCTGATAATAAGCATTCGGTGAATTTATGAAAGGATACAGAACACACATGAAAAGGAGAACAGACATCCCCTTATCACAAATAACAAAGTGAAGCAACGTGTACAATTGCCATAAACTCGCTCACTCAATAAAAAGCTGCGCATCGACTCACGTTGGTACGAATGGGAAAGTGTACAACTCGTGAGGAAGTAGCAGTAATACGAGTGAATTCTTTCAACCCTCGTACACTTGAACATGCGTTTAAGTCAAAGCGAAAGCCTGAGCGTAGGGCGTGGGCCTAAACTTGAACGCGAATAGCAGTTTGATAGGATGAAATCAGGCCGTCGGGACCTCCACCTGACAGTTCACTGCCATCGGGGAGCGAGTTGTCCGGCGGGAGCCCTGACAAAAAAGTGGAGGACCGAAACATCAAGGATTTCCCACCATGAGGGACGGCGTTCCTCAACGAGCTTTAGTCACAGATTTCTCCACGCGGGGTCCATTCCTGCCAAAAATTTGCTTCCCGATGAACACTAGTCATGACCACTGTCTGGCGTGATGAAAGTTTCAGCCACTCTCAACCTTGTGTTTAAATCAGGCAGCCATGTTCTAATGGTCGAAGTACATGTTGCGTAGGGATTAAGTCTGGAACTTCTAAAATTATATGCATAATACGAATTCATTTATATTAAGCAGGGAATCAAAAAATAAAACGAGAAAGCAATAAGCTCATCAAAAAGCGCCTCTTCAGGGTAGGAATGCAATCTTCATCACTGGCGGTGCTGACCCATGGTATCCACTCGGTGTTTACTTCAACAGGAGTTCTGTAGTTTCATATCGTTCACCAGGTATCACAGTTTTTTCGAATCACACATTTTTGGCGTTGAAAAACCTCAATTTATATTTTAGTAACAACCTCATGTCCAGTTTGAAAATGGTTAAATTCGGTAAGGAAAATGCTTCGAATTCAGGTACGGCACACTGCGCTGATATGTATGTACCAAGAAGGATGGATAAGCCTGGTTTGGCAGTAGCTCGTCGCTTGGTGAAGGAGAATGTTGCAAAATGGTTAGGAATTCCGTTAGAGAAATCATCAGATGAAGAAGCTGCTGACCCAAAACACGAAGAACAACAGCAGAAACAGGAACAACCGTCAATATTCAAATACCCACAAATGAAAGAGTTCAGTTCAACGATCGAACAGCTTCCTCTGGAACCATTCAAAGAGGTATACACATGTTGCTTATGCTCCAAAGTCACAGTTGATCAAAGTAACCGGCACCGAATGTTCCGGAAAACGGATGCATTGATCGGTCTTAGTGGGTAATGATCTTTTTATACGCGCAAAAGGAAGAATTTCGTTTGTTTCATTTTGACCACATCTCTACCATTTGTTGGCTGGGTGAAGAACCAAAATTTGAGTAGCAATGTCCAAGAAAAATACTTAAAATTGATGATGCAATACGCCTTACGTTCTGATTTATGATAATGATTCTCAGGCAATTGCACCACGACACCACAAATCATCCTTTTATAATGGTCCGGCATTCTTAATGGGACGTCCCCGAGGAGGTTTCATCGCAGAGCCACCGGTAAATGTTAATTTTGGAATTTGTAGAGAATAAACTGTATTGAAAGACGAAAGATTGAGAAATGGATGCAGAGCAGAATAAATGTTGCTATGGAGACAGTAATCATAAGAATCTAAAATGATGGCGTTCGTTTCCGATAAAATATGTGTGCAGCTATTGACTGGATAACAGACAAAATCATGATGCAACTGAAATATTTTGATTGATTTCTACCGCTATATCATTCCGTCAATTGACAGTCTCAATTGTAGATGCCAGCAATCAGCGATTACCCTCTCGGTTTTGTAGCGGGCACGATACAGCAACCTGTTGACAACTTTAATGCTTCTTCAAAGGCTACCTACAAACAGGTACAAACTAAATCACCACACTAATTCCACATCTAAACCATGAAGGATACCGATGCCTTCATCTTACAATTTTAGTGGATCGTGCTGTTCTCTTCTGCTCTTCCATCTATATCCTGGCCTACTCTACGTCCCCATTCTTCAAAATCTGTTGTGTTCCGTTTCGGCAACCTACAATTTCAATGTTATTCTATTCAGTCCTCTTAAAAATCCACTTTAAATACTTTATGTTCCGAACAATTCTCAGAAGCAATTCACAAAATGAAAGCTCTAAGTCGTCGACAAACAACTTCTTCCACCGCATGAAGTCATTCCAAAAGCCAAAAATAAGATGGATTCATGAATAGAATTAAATAACGATGTACTCAATGATTATAGCGCTTTTGGTATAATCCGCAATACTACAAACCCAACGGCCCATTGTTTTTGTTTATTTGTGGTGAGAGTCCAGCTGATATCAAATGGGTAACAAATCCGGACGTTCAAATTATGACTGCTGCTAGGGAATACAGCGCTTCTGTTTTCATGCTGGAGCATCGATATTATGGAAAGAGTTGGCCAACACCGTACGTTGTTATAATTTCATGTTTGGAAGATAAAGATTACTTGCACATTTAAATAAGCAGATTATCGCCAGCTCATAATTGAACGCCTTCGCAAACTGAAGTCTGGTTTAGCCCTTTCAGTAATCTGATCCACTGAAATGTGATCCCGTCAAGTAATTCTATGAATTTTAACTTCGAAGGTTGATGCGTCGCTGACCTCAAGATTGTTTGATGAGTCGTTCTCTCTAAAAATAAACAAAGCGATGGAGGACTGTGCTCCTTGCAGCAAACAGGAAATTCAGCATAACCTCCACCTTCGAGATGATACTGAATTTTATGTGTGGTGCAGCAAAGCCTTTGAATGAAAAGCAGTTGTGATATTTCTCACCAATCCAGTTAGCAGCTATTCGGATTGGTGAGAGATACGACAATTGATTTCCATCCATAGTTGGAAAATGAATGAATCATTTCTAATTTCAGAAATCAATCGACAGAGAATCTGAAGTGGTTATCCGTTGAGCAAGCATTGGCTGATGCAGCGCGTTTCATAAAGGCAATGAACAAAGAGCATGGTTATGTGAATCCAAAGTGGATCACATTCGGAGGATCGTATCCAGGTTTTGTTGCATTTTGTTCGCCTGAAACAAATCCATCTGTTGAACTTAATGATAACTGAAAATTGGTCTTCTCTCACTTGAAACACAGTTGATGAAAATGTGATATGAGGATTTCAAAGATGCACTCAACGTATTGAGTTCTTCCAAGTAGGCGCAATGAGATGTTTATTTGAAGGTAGTATGTCCGCGTGGATGCGTCAGTTCCATCCAGACCTAGTGACTGGTGCGATGGCAAGCTCAGCACCTATTGAAGTGAAAGTTGATTTTTATGGTTTGTTTCTTCTTCATATGCATGTCGTCGCGTCATGTGAATTGCGCTTTGCACCGAATCACTGAGATTGCCTCATGGATGCGGTGATCAGAATTATGTTCCATTTTTTCATAACAGCGAACATAAATTGTGTCATCTGAACCATTATTTTTACGATTCTAAACTAATTTTATTTTCAGGATATGAATTGCAATGTCAGAATTCACTGCAAATATACAATCCAGCTTGTTCTGAAAACATTGGAATCGCATTTGAAAATATGCATCAGTTGTCATTGACTGGTGAAGGTCGTGTAGAATTATCAAAGATATTCAAGTTCGTTTGGATATCTCATTGCAGTTGCTTCAAATGAGATTCATTTCTGGTCGTGGCTGATTTTGCTTAAATTATCTCCCAAAGTCATTCTTGTGACATTACAAGCTCCCTGATCAATCGGTCTGACGCACAAGTTTTCAGCCTCATTCCAGCTTGGAATACTAGTACGAAAGTCAATGAGAAGGATATGCAAAACTTCTTCGCGATCATGTATCAGAACTTTGACAGCATCGTGCAATACAACAATGATAATCGGGTATGAAATACCAAGAGAATATCTCAAATGATTTCTTTTCACAACCATCAAGGAGTCAAGCCGTTTGCTGTCCTGAATTTTCATGAAATTAATGAATTGAACTGCTTGGATGCAAATTAAATGTAAAAGTATGCCAATGATAATGATAACGTCAAATTAACCAAAACCATTCGCATCTAAATAAGTTAACGGTTGCGTTACATTTATGTTACCCATCGATCTCGTGAGGGTCTGTTGAGATAAGAATGTTGTTTTATTGCAGGGCATATATGCATATGGTGAAGGAATGCGTGAGGGCTGTGGAATAATGCAGAATAACGAGAGATTCCCAATGCAGAATTTAGCTGAAGTTAATAAATACGTTGCCACATTCCCGAATGGGACTTTCAAATATACGGATTACGTTTACCAGCATCTTGTCGACTATTTAAAGTATGACAAATTTTTCGATGGATGTGAGTGTTTTTGAAGCGTGTATACATTCCAAAGAAATTAATTTTTCACCTCTGGCTCATAATCAATTAGTGCTGATTGAAATGCTGTTTACAATAGACTTCGAGTGCTTCCAAAGTACGTGGTACTTTGAAAGCCCTGGAAGTGATAATTTATTTGCAATGAAAATACAATTGTCAACAAGAGGCGACGATCCGTTTTGTATTCTCTCTGAAAAAGAGAGGAGTTCATTCCTTTACAGCTGATTGGCGCACATGGACGTATCAAACCTGCACACAGTTTGGTTTCTTTGAATCAACAGACATTGGCTACAATATATGGGGTAGTCCAGTTCCTGTGAAGTTCGTTCCATTGGTTATCTCCATCCTGATCATACGAACAAATCTTTTCCTCGATTGCTTTTCACAATGATCCCAAATTCCATCGATATCAACGTACCGCTCATTTTGACAGCTGATGAAATTATTATCATGTAGAGTTCATTTTCGCTCAAAATTTTCACCACTTAATCGCTGAATCTCGTTCACACATAATCTGTCCTGTGAGTTGGTCCGACACGAATCAAAGTAGCGGGGATATATGTTACGATTTGCTATATTGCAGCTTTTGGATTGAAATGTGTGCTGATATATTCGGCCCCAAATTCACATCGAAACGCATTTACAAAGCTGTTGACGATTTGCAGAAACTGACAGGCGGTAGAGATCACTACCATGTATGTCGATTGAACCAGTGATCCTTTCACGTAGCCGACTATTAGTTTAGAGAAGTGACCGAACTCATCATTCTACAGAATATCATCCATTTACGTTGCCTTCTAAGTACCACTGTATTAACATCAAGAAGAGTCGCTCAAAATTAATGAATGACTGATCGGCATTGACCTATCTCTTCGTTCAAATTTAAGTCCGAGTTTTTCTTCCTTCTGTCTTTGATCACATTGAGAACAGTAGGCGATGTTGATTCCTTGTTGGAGTAGAGCGATAAAAGCCATTCATGATCACACGGGAAAGTTGACAGTAGAAGAACGCACCGACTTCAGGGCACAAACGTTATGTTCACGAATGGAAATATTGATCCCTGGCATCTTCAAGGCAAATATAATGGTACTGGAACAGTCACAACGATTCTTATGAATGGTAATTAGCTGAAACAATTCGTCTGTGGCATTTTCTACATCGTCATAATGTGGTCTAACAGTACAATATGTACTTTACATAAGTTTTCTTTCAGTGCGAATGAAAACTCCCATGATAGAATTTTAAGGAATAGTTGTTATTGGAACACATGGCACTGCTCGGTAAAATTGATTCAATAATACTGCCGGATACTACGTGAATTAGTTGCAATTGGTTTTCATCATTTTTAAGGGGAACTTTAAGTTTAAAATTAATGCTTGATGATGGCTGAACAGGTTCAGAAATAATTATGTATTAGTCGCACATGACCTCGTTTTATCTGTTCAGTTATCATAAATTCATTTGATTATGGTATTAAGGTACTGCCCATTGTGCCGAGATGTACCCACCACGACCTCAAGATGCACCAGATCTTAAACCTGTCAGAGAGTTAGCATTAAAGAAAATTGGTGAATGGCTTGGTAAGTTCTTTTACTCGTAACTGTTTTTCTCAGCTTTTTCGAATTCATTGCTCAGTTCACAATTCATTCCCATCAATACGGTTGGATATTAATAACTTCTGAAGCGGAAAGTATTTGGAAAATACCGTTAATTTATAAAATGACTAACCGCGTAATAAAAAGCCGCAAAAACCTCAAGTTCACAATCACATGACCAATTTTGAAATTTCATCTGAATACCACATTTACTTTGTGGAGCAGTCGTTTGTGAAGTAAATCATGCCGTAACGATTTTACTCGGAACGAAGACACTAGTGTGTTGCGGGGATCAGGAAATTTTGGGTTCCCCCTCCCTGTTCCCCATCCACAACTTCTTTCAGGCCGGCTGCATTTTCGGGGTCCCTGACTGCAAAATTTCGTCTCCAACTTCTAGCCTTGTAAATAAATTATTAGAGTCTTCAAGCTTATCTCTCTGGAATACTGTGTTCGTGGTTGGACGTTCGGCCTGTGGACATTTGTCCTAATTAGCATTTGGCCTATGCACAGTTGGCTTATTGGACATGGAGGTTACGTAATGACAAGAGTTGAGTTGGAGGTCTCTGGGAGCACCCAGGAGTATGATCACTAACCATGTGCGAGTTATCTGAGCCCCTTGGCCCTACATTCGGAGGTTCTCCAGCGCTTTATTTCGAAATCTATTAACATATCATGTACACACTATATATTGCTATTCTTGGTTCGATCAAATTTGGGCCGTGACCAATGAATTTATGAGGCATAAACGATGTATTATATGATATATTATATTATTAAATTGTATGACATGTATTGTATTATATAATACTTATTTCATCCTCACCATTGAGTTAATGACAGTTTACTCCAACAATCTCCCTCAGGGAACATGGCTTGGAACGCTCAAGAATAGATTTCGCCCGAACATGAAGGATTTGTCGTTTAATGCTGCGAAGGTTATTGCAAGGATGTGATAATTGATTTAAATGACGGTGTGCGACTGATATTCATTGGTCCACTATTTCAAAGACCTCTGAATTTCAATGCCAACGACCTAGACCACAGACGATCAGTTGACACCAAATTGCCCATTCATTCCTGCTCACAGACCGAGAAAACACCAACTCTATCAGACTGAGAAAACACCAACTCTATCAGACCGAGAAAACACCAACTCTGTCAGTCAAGAATAATTTCGGTCACCATTGAGTGTTTGCCACTGCAACGTGCTCATGCCTACTTTCCTCCTCCAGCAGTCGCGATACAAAATCGATCGGAGACAACTTTATGGAAACACCAACTCTATCAGTCAAGAATAAGAAACCAATTTCAACAGAAGAAAATCTCTCGCATATTTTTTTCACATGTTCGAGAAAGAAAACAGATTCACCATAGCAGAAATTGTTAATTGTAATTGTTTTTTCTTCTGATTTTCCAGAATGTGTGAAAATCGAATTGAGCCGTCCAGGAGGAAGGAAGACAACGTAGACAGTACCATTCCTGTCCAATGGAAAATCATTCACAGTTCAATCTGGGAAACATATGTTTTCGGGAATTAAATCGTTAAGTACTACGTGGATGACTTCGCGCTAAATCGCTATCTTTAAATTTCTGTTCACGTGTGGAATTGACCGAAAGCTCGAGCCAAATTAAGCTATGAAGTTTTTTCCTTTTTTCCATTATGCATTGTTCTGCATCCATTATGCACTGCAGTATTCTCGTAAAGCTCAAAAGCATGGAAGAGTTTTCGGGGTGTTCACAAACGTATAAGTTCATATCGAAATGCTCACCAATCAACATGTTGGAAGCCATTGATCTTATGAAAATTAGAACTTCAGGAACAATCTGTTGAATAAATCCAAAGTGGAAGAGATTGGAAACCCCCGGAAACAGTTTCGAAAGTTTCAGACATTTCGCGAATGCTTGAAACTAATACTATTGGGTTTTCCCAGAGCCTTTCAACGCAAACTCAGTCGTTACCTGCATTTCCATTAGGCCCCGGGCGAATGTCTGTTGGGCTAAATATCCGTGGGCTAAACATTCTTAGGCTAAATGTCCTACATCAGTTGTGTTATAAAGTAGTTTGGTTTTGTTGCACGCTGAAGCTGGGAGCATGTCTCATCTGCAAAGTCTGCACTGGGCAAAAAAGGAGAACGTTTGGTCCTCGGGAGTGTACTGTGGAAATATTTTGTTTTGGGGCAGTAAACGGAACGTTTGCTCGACATTATGAAACAGTCATCAACAAAGAGACTTTTCGACCACTCGCGTATGATTCCTGCTCAGTTGAAAGAAATATTTCTGACTGTCTCAAAAGCATGAGGAGAAAACGACATTTCTCGTCATTGAGACACGGCTATTACCGTGAACCGTAACCTGGCCTAAACTTTCAGTGATAAACATTAACAATTTCTGCAACATGAAGTGGAAAAAATTCACGATATTGTCATTGCAGAATGTTGCTCATTTTTCTCGCCGAACGCCATGCATTGGTTATACTGACTTTGCCAGCGAAATTCCCCTTCATGATTCCTCGCCTCCGACCTTTTCCAAGCCGATCGCGTTCTCAGGATTTCCGACCGCGAACTTTTTTCCGACCCCGCTACACACTGGAATACCCAAAACAGCGTATTCAGTGAATGATTTCATTTAAGAGATGTCGATCACAACAACTAATAACTCTTTCAAAGAGCCTTAGCTCTCAAATGCCTTTGATTTTTATCAGTAACCAAATTTCTTTAAGGGACAACAGCAGCATTGACCACAACAACTTCGACGAACGGTGAGTTCCTATGGAGCATCAAATTTTCATTTGATGAAATTATTGCTGATTATAAAGAAAACTTCGAGAGCTGAAAATTTTCGTTCCGTTTCTATGATAATATTCATCAAAATATTCAGTGACTAAACTTGATATAGAGAATACGCCCCCCCAACACGCCATAGGCTATTTGAACTAGAAGTTAGTGTGAGAACCACGAAGTAATATGATTTGGAAAACCTGTTAATCCGGAGAAATGCTGAACTGACAACGAAATCTTGAAAACCGAATCCCAGTAAGAATCCCGTGATACTTTTTGATTGATTCCAGATTGAGAATTGCCCAAATTCATCTAATTGTAGGAAAAGTCAACGATGATATGATAATTGCCCAAAAATATTTCAGTGTTGTAACATATTGTTTGCAGATACGACCTCTTCATCATCTCGAGCAGTTCATTTGACGCCGTTCATTTTCATTTATCTTCTGCTTCTTTCGATGATTCGTTACTAAAATTCCTATCTCAACGCAGATGATTTTCATTCAAAAATAGGCTCGCAAATGAGAAGTCGTCAATGTGTTGTGTTCCATTTCACCGATCACATTCGTTCAACAATTACGCAGTTAAATTTTTGATATATGCTATCGTAACTGTTACATCCCATCCTTAAATTTAACTTGTGATCATATGACATGAATGGTTTGGCTGTCATTCCATTAATAAATGTTAACTTTGTGCTTGAAAGTGCAAGCAAATGAATTATCCACCAACATTGCTGTCAGTGCTTAAGTCAGCGAATTCCATTTATATTATAACCGAAACTGTATTGCTCAGCAAAAGTCCCAGATGGATTGCTCAGCGCAGCGATACGACTTTTCAAGCTTCATCTCACTCCTCCAAAATGAATGCCATAGTTACATTAGGGCAACAATTCATTCCTTTGAATCATTGCTTCATGTAGCGAATCGATCAGAATTCATTGTTACCTCATTATTTTAAAGCTAAAATCAAAGCTATTGTTTGTATTATAACGATGATGGAATATGTCGGTTAATCACTACACAGAAGTTATTTATTTGAATAGGACAGGAAATGGAATAAGCAGCGAAACAATATAAAAGATCACAAATAGCAATAAATATGATACAGAGTCTATTTATTAATTTACGTCATAGACCATGCAACTGTACTATGCGCTGTTACCCTGGATTTTGCGTCTACAATGTAGACGCAAGCTGAATGATAACAGCGGCAAACAAAGTGGACGATAGAAACGATAATGGCGTTAATCCCAATAGCCGCTATTGAGACTTAACTAGCTAGTTACAAGGGAATTGGGAAATGGTGACCTGCCAAAAGGAACAAGGAATTAAACAATAATAGGTTGCAAACGGAACAAGGCTGAAAACCAACTTGATTCCTCGCATTGCACACCGGCATACCGCTCACACCATCTCTAAAAAATGTCCGACATGGGGCTCGAAAACACGAACACGCACTAACCAACTGCGCTACTTAAGCGCTCAAGTCAGGCTGGGTCAAAAACAAAACCTGCGACCTTCTCCAAACCAATTTCAGCTTCTAATACCGTGCAGATTGTGACGAAAAAATATACTTCTATGGATTGTACACGTGCAAATCGTCGACACCACCCCTAAAAAATGCCCGAGGTGAGGCTCGAACTCACGACCTTCAGATTATGAGACTGACGCGCTAACCAACTGCGCTACTCAGGCGTTAAATCCAAGATATACCCAAAACACAAAGTGCAACGTTCTGTAAAACATTCTCAATCTTATTCCACTCTATAGCTCGTAATTGAGAAATATGCTGCAATCGATTCTACAGGTTCATATCTTAACCATCATATCAGAAACATCTTGGTAACAACGTATACCGTCCTCTTTGGTAATACAAAAATTTTAATTCTTTGTAATCTACACGTGCAAATCCTTAGTCCATATCAAAAAAATGCCCGAGGTGAGGCTCGAACTCACGACCTTCAGATTATGAGACTGACGCGCTAACCAACTGCG